TATTTTAAATCCTAATTTGTTGACTGTAAGCCCTTAATCTATTCACTTCTTAATCCTAATTTGTTGCCTAATCCTACTTTCTATTAACAACAAATCCTAATCCTATTGGTTTCCTAATGTGTTGGCGTACAAGCATGGGCGCCCGGTGGGGGGGGGGGGGGGCAGGGGGGGGCATCTGCCCCCCCCCTGGCTTTTAATATAAATACTTAAAAATAAAAGAAAAAAAAATAAATAAAAATAATTAGGTATTTCCATTTTTATTTTTTTTTGATAACAACTAATTGTTTTTTTGTTAAATTTGGGGTATATGATTCCAAAAATCCAACTAATCAGTGATTTTAGTCCGAGGGCAATAACTCCAATCCAGTAAATTCGATTCGATCTGGCATCATCGCGCCCAACGCATATCGGATCGGCAATCTTGTTTTTACAAGTTTCTGCGTAAAATTAAAGGGGGTGTGCGCCAAAAATTAAAGTTTTAGTGTAAAAAATCTAAGAATAACTAGTCAAGCCTCGTTATTCTACGATAAACCATCGCTGAGATATACCGCTTTAAAGTGTGTGTGACGTCATGAGAGCTTCGTCCAGCCGCGCTCCGCATTGTTAATTTGATTGTTCCCAGCATGCGTGAATGGTTTTTGGTTAGATTATTGCAGGTGACACAGGAAAAACATATGTAAATTCAATTTACTTCACTTTCTCGTGCGTCGCTTGAGCTTTCGTGGCGTCATAGGGTGAGATGCGGTACCTTCATAGAGCCATATCTCCGATATTATTTGTCATAGAGGGGTGCGGTTTTCACTGTTATTCTTAGATTTTTTTTTTTTTTTGGGATGAAGTTGTTTTTTTGGCGCACACCCCCTTTAAAGTGAATCACACAGAATTTTTTTATCTGCTGAAGCTGAGGATTTTTTAAATTTATTGAATTACATCTCACATTGCATTGTGTGTTTATTTAGATATTTGAATTAAGTTGATTGTTGAAGCATAGCTAAAGTTAAGAGTGAAGTGAGTGGTAAGTAATTATTTAAGATGAAGTAAATTCACCTATCAAAAGATATAGAGAATTAACTTATTTTCCCGTCCGAAATATAAGTATTTCCAAATTGTTTTATTTTTTAATGTTTATTATATTAGTTAAAATTAGCAAAATTTGGGTGTGGCCCAAAAAAAAATTCCGCCTGCGGTGCGTTTTCCATGATTCCCCCAAGAGCAGTTTATTTGCCCCCCCCCCTGTGACAAATTCTGCGGGCGCCGTTGCGTACAAGCCCTTATGTCTAGTCACCTTTTTTCTTCTTTTTTCTTCTTTTTTCTTTTTTTTAAGCTGAATAGGCTCTGTCGTTTTAGTATTGATAGAGCATGTATTTTTGGACAGTTGACATTTTAAATGTCAAAAGTGTTAGTTTAGTGTTTTTTTGGTGAGTCGGTTTACACTGTCAATTGTCAATTTCATTGATTTTCCTGAGCGGGTCCTTTTTTTATACCAAAAAAATGTTAACGAACGCACCCCTTTTTAATTTTTGAAAATTATTTTTAATTTTGTTGTTTTCCGCAGGAAAAATTTGAAATTTTAGTGTGATGCGCCCCTGACTTTTCTCTTTTTCTCCAGAAAATGTCATAATTTGATTAGTTTTCCAAAAAAAAAAAAAATATATTAAATAGTGCATTTATGCCTAATTTAGATGATTTTCATTAATTTCCAATGAGCATATTTTCCACTGGAAAAATTTGAAATTTTACTATGATACGTCCCTGACTTTCCTCTTTTTTTCCAGGAAATATCATAATTTTCCCCTGAATAGTTTTTCAGAAGAAAAATAAAATGTTGGATGGTGCATTTAGGCCTAATTTAGTTGTTTTCCATTAATTTCCAATGGGGTTATTTTCTACTGAAAAAATCTCACATTTTACTATGATACGCTCCTGATTTTCTTCTTTTTTTTCCAGAAAATGTCATAATTTTTTCCTGGACAGTTTTCCAGAAAAAAAATAAAATGTTAGATGGTGCATTTATGCCTAATTTAATTGTTTTTTATTAATTTCCAATGGGGTTATTTTTCACTGTAAAAATTTGAAACTTTACTATGATACGCTCCTGATTTTCTTCTTTTTTTCCAGAAAATGTCATAATATTCCCTTGAATAATATTCCAGAAAAAAAATAAAATGTTAGATGGTGTATTTATGCCTAATTTAATTGTTTTTTATTAATTTCCAATGGGGTTATTTTTCACTGTAAAAATTTGAAACTTTACTATGATACGCGATACGCTTCTGATTTTCCTCTTTTTTTCCAGAAAATGTCATAATTTTCCCTTGAATTATTTTCCAGAAAAAAAATAAAATGTTAGATGGTGTATTTATGCCTAATTTAATTGATTTTTATTAATTTCCAATGAGGTTATTTTCCACTGGAAAAATTTGAAATTTCACTATGATACGCCCCTGACTTTTTTTTTCCAAAAAATGTCATAATCTTCCCTTGAATTATTTTCCAGAAAAAAAATAAAATGTTAGATGGTGCATTTATGCCTAATTTAGTTGATTTTCATTAATTTCCAATAGGGTTATTTTCCATTTAAAAAATTTGAAATTTTACTATGATACACCCCTGAGTTTCTTTTTTTTTTCCCAAAAAATATCATAATTTTCTCCTGGACATTTTTCCAGAAAAAAAAATAAAATGTTAGATGGTGCATTTCCAATGGGGTTATTTTTCACTGGAAAAATTTGAAATTTTAGCATGACACGCCTCTGACTTTTTTCGTTTTGTCCAGAAAATTTCATAATTTTCCTTTGGATAGTTATCCAGAAAAAAAAAATTAAATGGTGCATTTATGACTAATTTAGTTGATTTTCATTAATTTCCATTAGGTTTATTTTTTATTTGAAAAATTTGAAATTTTAGTATGATATCCCTCTGACTTATCTCGTTTTGTCCAGAAAATTTCATAATTTTCCTTTGGATAGTTTTCCAGAAAAAAATAAAATGCGTTAGATGGTGCATTCATGCCTAATTTAGTTGATATTCATTAATTTCCAATGAGATTATTTTCCACTGGAATAATTTGAAATTTTACTATGGTACGCCCCTGACTTTCTTCTTTTTTTGCAAAAAATGTCATAATTTTCCCTTGAATTATTTTCCAGAAAAAAAATAAAATGTTAGATGGGCATTTATGCCTAATTTAGTTGATTTTCATTAGTTTCCAATAGGGTTATTTTCCATTTGAAAAATTTGAAATTTTACTATGATACGCCCTTCAGTTTCCTCTTTTTTTCCAAAAAATATCATAATTTTCTCCTGGAGAGTTTTCCAGAAAAAAAAATAAAATAAAATGTGAGATGGTGCATTTATATCTAATTTAGTTGATTTTTATTAATTTCCAATGGGGTTATTTTTCACTGGAAAAAATTGAAATTTTAGCGTGACACGCCCCTGACTTTTTTTGTTTTGTTCAGAAAATTTCACAATTTTTCTTTAGATAGTTTTCCAGAAAAAAAAATAAATTAAATGGTGCATTTATGAGTAATTTAGTTGATTTTCATTAATTTCCATTAGGTTTATTGTTCATTTGAAAAATTTGAAATTTTATTATGATATGCCCCTGACTTTTCTCGTTTTCTCTCTTTGTTATTTTTCACTGGAAAAATTTGAAATTTTAGTATGACACGCCCGTGACTTTTCTCGTTTTGTACAGAAAATTTCATAATTTTCCTTTGGATAGTTTTCCAGAAAAAAAATAAAATGTAAGAAGATGCATTTATGCTTAATTTAATTCATTTCCATTAATTTCCAATGGGGTGATTTTTCACTGGAAAAATTTGAAATTTTACTATGATGCGCCCCTGACTTTCCTCTTTTTTTCCAGAAAATGTCATGATTTTCTCCTGAATAGTTTTCCAGAAGAAAAATAAAATGTTAGATGGTGCAATTATATCTAATTTAGTTGATGTTCATTAATTTTCAACGGGGTTATTTTTCACTGGAAAAATTTGAAATTTTAGTATGACACGCCCCTGACTTCTCTCGTTTTGTCCAGAAAAATTCATAATTTTCCTTTGGATAGTTTTCCAGAAAAAAAATAAAATGCGTCAGATGGTGCATTTATGCCTAATTTAATTGTTTTTTATTAATTTCCAATGGGGTTATTTTTCACTGTGAAAATTTGAAACTTTACTATGATACGCTCCTGATTTTCCTCTTTTTTTCCAGAAAATGTCATAATTTTCCCTTGAATAGTTTTCCAGAAAAAAAATAAAATGTCAGATGGTGCATTTATGCCTAATTTAATTGATTTTTATTAATTTCCAATGGGGTTATTTTTCACTGGAAAAATTTGAAATTTTAGTATGACACGCCCCTGAATTTTCTCGTTTTGTTCAGAAAATTTCATAATAGTTCGATCTCTGTGTGTCCCACCAGGACAATTGCTGATCATCTCCAGCAGGATACTATAATTTGTACAAATGTACTATAATTTTATAGCATCCTATACTATAATAGTTGATCCGTAGTTGGCAACACTGCTCTCTACATCACATAACTATTTCCACAAAAAAATCCGTTTGCGGACAGGCAGTGCTGCAAAATTGTATACAATTTCCCTCAAGATGAGAGTTATATAAAAATAGTTTTCTGATTTCTTTTGGTAATATTTTAATAGAAAAAACTCCTTGTACTTTGAGAAGTAGAGGTACCACACTTTTTGACAATCTGAAATGTTTAGTTTGTATTTAATGTATTAATGTAAGTATACCAAAAACTTTCAGACAAATTATCAACTTTCAGGAAAATTGTTACCAATATAACTTCTATTATATCACTCCCACTAAATAACATCCACCCTACCCAACATCGACAAGTACCACGTTATCTGAGGTCCAAAACACGGTACTGACGGTACCAACGTTGCCAGCATGCGCGCTACACTTCTACATTTGAAACCAGAGAATGATTCACTCGAAATTAAATTCAGTCAGTCAGTCACAAGAGAACCGACGTCGCGCTAGTACCGCGTACCCTCCGTGTCCGTTCGGTAGGCTTTTTAGCGGTCCTTCGAGCCGGATTTTTAGTGAATTTTTGTAAAATGGAATAAGAGTGGAGTGAGTTAGGATTTAGCATGAGTGATAAGGATGGAGTTCAGGATCCAAAAGGTAGAATAGTTGTTTTTATTTAATTTATCCAAAGGATTTTGATTAATCGTTTGATAATTGATGACTATAGTAGTACTGAAGTACTGCCCCTTTAGGTATACCTAATTATCATTTACCCTGTTAGAGATTCTAGTTAAAAGCCTATTTTAGTAAGTACCACATTTCATATGTTCTAACTCGAATTAATTTTAATAAAATAATGATGATGACTAAGAATATTGGCCCCTATTTATTTGTTTATATAATTGACATCCTGATCATTATGATTAGTATGAACGAACAACGAATCCCCTGTTTATGGAGCGAAGTGTTATATGATATTTCTTATCTTAGCTTCACCTCCTTTACATTCATAGAGCATTACATGGGTTTAAAATCCCAAAACCACTTATCTAAGACTTTAAATCTTTGTTAACGCTACCTGGTATTGACTTCCAGTTCGAGATTGTCTTAAATTGGATTTTTGCGGAATTTCGTTGTATTCTGCTAAAGTCGCACTGTGGGAGGTTGACTGACATAGATTTAAAAATTTAAAAGGTTTGGTTTCATGACATTTTAACACTTGTTGAGTTGATGGTGATAAATTCGGAAATGTTTTTAAAAAAAATCCTTTTTATGTATAATTTAATATTTCCTGGAATATTAAACCTGAATCATTCCTAGGTATAGGTACCTACTTCTAAAAGGTTTCTAACCTACTCTTTAGACTCTAACTGACAAAAATTTCCATTTGTTCCAGTTCGACTTTAGTATAGGTAAAGTAAAACCATCAGATTTTAAAAAATCTCCTAAAAGTTTCTACCGATATTGTCACAAACAGTGGCGGCTCGTGATTATTTCAAGTGAGGAGGCTAAAAGATTTTCAGTGATTTTGAGTAGATCTTACGAGTTTTTCTGCGATTTTGACCAACTTGTATACAAATTTTCATCAATTAACCGGCGCTCGAAGTTTAGTTTACTCCATAAAATGTGTACCTACATAATTGAATCTTTATTGATTTTGTAGGATTTTGAGGATTTTTAAAAAACTTCACCTAATTTTAAAAGATTTTAAATGTATGAGATTTTAGGTGATTTTGGATCATTTTAGGGAATTTAGAAACGGTTTTTATGGCGTTTTTACCAACTAATTTAGGGGAGCCTTAACGATAAATATTCCATGGGAATTCTGCGAAAATTTTTTGTTAATTCCATAGAAATTCCTCACTAGAAGATTTTATGGAAATTCTCATTCAAATGACAAATTTGAATAGAAAAACAGAAAGTCCTAGAAATTTTATCATAAGATTTCATAATACTTTTCCGAATTCCACCATAAAATTCAATGGAATTCTTGTACAAAAATTCCTGGGAATTACAGTAGAAGATTTCATAAAATCTCGACAGAAATTACTCAGAATTTCACTAAAATTTAATTCAAGTTTTCGGAATTCCGCCGAAATTTTTCGTGGTTTCATGGAAATTCCACAAAAATTCTGTTTAATTCCGAGGGAATTTTTCGGTTTCGGTATAATTTCACTGGAATTCGACAATAAGATTTCAAGGAATTCCATGTAGATGTAATTCGACGAGAATTCCTTGGAATTTGACCAACATCAAACACAATCCTCCAAGTTCCCCATAAATTTTTCCAAATTTCCTATAAATTCACCAAGTTTTTAACAAAGAATTCCAAGGTGGTTTTGTCTCTTGGAAAATACAGTCTCACACTTTCAAAGTTTTCCTGGAAAACTAATTGGGGGAAAAGTTGAAACTTTTTGCATATAAAGAGGAAGATTAGAAGCTTATTTTCTCAAAATTTCAAATTTCTTCAGTAGAAAATAACAACATTAAGAATCTTGGAAATCATCCTACAATAACTGAGTTAATTGAAAATACAGTCACACACAATTCAAAGTTTTCCTCGAAAACTAGTAAAGGCAAAAATTTGAAACTTTTTGCATTTGAGGAGAAAGGTTAAACGCTGCTTTTCCCAAAATTTCAAATTTTTCCAGTGAAAAATAACAACATGGAAAATCTTGGAAATTAACCTGCAATAACTGAATTATTTGAAAATACAGTCTCACACATTTCAACGTTTTCTTGGAAAACTAGTGAACGGAAAAATTTGAAACTTTTTGCATGTGAAGAGGAAAGTTAGAGACTCATTTTCACATAATTTCAAATTTTTCTATTGGGAAATAGCAACATAAGGAATCTTAGAAATCAACTTACAAAAGCTGAAATAATTGTTAATACAGTCTCACGCAATTCAAAGTTTTCCTGGAAAACTCGAGGGAAAACTAATTAAGGGAAAATTTTGAAACCTTTTGCATGTAAAGAAAAAGGACAGAGGCTTATTTTCCCAAAATTTCAAATTTTTCTAGTGGAATCTTGGAAATCAACCTCCAATAAATGAATTAATTGAAAATACAGTCTCACACATTTCAAAGTTTTCCTGGAAAGCTAGTGAGGAAAAAATTTTGAAATTTTTTGCATGTAAAGAGGAAGGCGAGAAGCTCATTTTTCCAAAATTTCAAATTTTTCCAGTAGAAAATAACAACATAAAAAATCTTGGAAATCAATCTACAATAACTGAATTAATTGAAAACACAGTCTCACATAATTCAATGTTTTCTTAAAAAACTAGCAAAGGCAAAAATTTGAAACTTTTTGCATGTGAGGAAACAGGTTAAAGGCTCATTTTCCCAAAATTTCAAATTTTTTCCAGTGAAAAATAGGATTTTGGAAAGATTTCGAGGGATTATTCACTGTGACAAGATTTCAGATTTCGAGCGATTTTGAATGATTTCGGTTGATTTCGAAGGATTTTGGGTGGTTTCGAAAGATTTCGGGTGATTTCGAAGAATTTCAGGTGATTTCGCAAATATTTTAATTTAATTTCAGACCGTTACTTATCGGCGTTGGCCGATTTATGAATTTTGAGCCAATTGCGAGGGATTTTTGGGTTTACGGAAAGATTTCTGAAAGATTCCGAAGGGATTTCGGAGTGATTTAGTGGATTTCGGACGAATTTATGACACGATTTCGGGGAGTGATTAACCTCTCGAAGATTTCATCAAAGTTCTTTGGAATTTCATGAAAATTTTAAGTTATTCCATAGAAATTCCGCGAAAATTTTAAGTAATTCCATAGAAATACCTTAAAACATTTCATTAGAAGATTTTATGGAATTCTTGGACAAAATTTCTTCGGAATTAAAATATAGGATTTCATGAAATTCCTCGGAATTCCACTAAGATTTCAATTTCAAAATTCCATATTTTTTTTTTTTAACTTTTCTAAAATTCCTCAAAATTTTACCACTGAAATATCCTGGAATTCCACAAAATTTTCATAAAATTCTTCGGAATTTCATTGACATTTCATGTAATTTCTTAAAAATTCCTCGGAATTCACTAAAATTTTATGAGAATATCCACGTTCATAGCCGAAAATTTCTCGAAAGTACAATGAAACTTTAAGGAATTTTTCAAAATTTAATTTATTTTCATAAGGATTTTTTGGAATTTCACTGAAATTCTCTTTTAATAGCCAGGAATTTCTGGAAATATTAATGAAGCTTCAAGTAATTTTTTAAAAATTCATCAAAATATATTGAAATTCCATGTCATTATTACATGGGAATTTTTCGGAATATCACCGAAATTCTATGTTTTTAGCTGGAAATTCCTCGGCATTACTAAAATTCAGAAAAAATTGAAATTTCATGTTGGGAATTTCGGTGTAATTTCATGTAAATGTTTAAAATTCCTCCATGTAATTTATTTAGGATTTCGTGTAATTCGATTGGAATTTCACTAAAATTTCAAGCAATTCGAGAGGAATAAAAATTTAATGTGAATTCTATGGAAACTCCGCAAAAATTTCACATCTAATTCCTTTTTCAGAATAATATATTATGAAATTCTGAGACTTAACAGATTTTTGGGGATTCCAAAGGATATTTGAGAATTTTAAAGGAAATATTTTTCAGAAATGTCAATGATTGGGTTTGAAATAACCTATAAATCGAGATTTGATAAAAATATGTGGCAACGCTGCTCATGATACAACAAACGTCAAAAAATTGAAATATCAAAGTAGGCCTTGGTTTTTTTGACAGTCGATATAAAATGGCGTCTTTTTGTTTCAAAGATTACGATCCGAAGGGCCGAAGTATTAAAATCAGTTGATCATGAACGGGTTCGTATAACTCTGGCCCTTCGGGCTCGTATAACCTCGGACCTTCGGGCTCATGATTGAAATAACTCCGGCCTGTCGGGCTCGTATAACTCCGGCCCTTCGGGTTCGCATGATTCCGGCCCTTCGGACTCGTATAACCTCGGCCCTTTGAGCTCATAATTGAGATAACCTCAGCCTTCCAGAATCGAGATTCGAAAAAAAAACATATGGCAACACTGCTTATAATACAACAAATGTCAAAAAATTGGCCGGTCCCCTGTTTGGCTACTTTCTAGGCATTCGCTGAGGCTAAATCTATATGCTTATGTGTTTTTTTTTTTAATTTTGACAACTGTCAATGTCAAAAATTTTTACCTTTTCTTTTTTTCAAAAAACAAATGTCATAAAACGATCCCCAGGCTCCGAAAACCCTAAAATAAGAAGTTTCATCGATATATGTCAAAAACCAACCGCCTGGCAACGCCGAACGTCTTTTTTGACATATGTTAAAAAAAAAATTGGTACTTCCTACGTATTCGCCGAAGCTAAATCTATATGCCCATGTAGGTTTTTTTGAATTTTGACAGCTGTCAATCTCAAAAAAAAAATTATTTTGTTTTTGTTTTTCCAAAAAACAAAGGTTAGAAAACAAGTCGTTTTTTAGTGGGTTTTAGGGTGAGATTTATGTAACAGCATGTAGCAACAGTTGGTACAAAAAATTCAATTTTCCGTCAGGTTTGAAATTCGAATTTTCGAATTTTCCCGGCTCCTGATTGGTTTGGGGATTTGAATTTTGATTATTCCCGGCTCTTGATTGGCTTTAAATTTTGGAATAT